CTTTCTCTTGTGGATGTTTACTACTAAGAGGGATGGGTTGCCATTAATTGTGCACAGGACGGAGGATACCGTAGTCTACTTTTGGGAGTGGATCTTCTATTGCAGTCCTCCATTCTAATAAATGAATATTCATTTTCTTCTCTTAATTATAAGTTAGGATTAATGATATGGAAAGGAGTGAACATGAAGCACTTTACCAATTCATAGTTGCATGTATTTTGTTGATGTTACTCTTGTTGTTTTTACTGGATTGAACAGGGTGTTTTCTTTCATTTGACAACTGGATTCAGACTCCAATGCTGTCTAAAATATCACCATAGAAAAGAACACAGGTGGATTTTCTAATGCAAAGAAATTTTAAAATTGGTTGTGTTGAAAGCAGCACTGCATTCCCATTCCTGCAACAGGGTTTAAGATGAGGAGGTGCTATATTTAAAGAAGAAGAGGCATGCGCTTGTGTTGGCCTTTATTATGGATTTCAATGAGACTATTAGAACTTGAATATCAAAAATAGCCATTTACCACCTTTCTAGAACTAATGTTTGTTGCTGTAAACTGAAAAGAGAGCTTCCTGAAGGAATGTTTAAGGCATAAGTGGGGTGACAGCTAGCTAACCTTGTCAATTAAAAATAAATGTTCCAGCAGTTTGTATTCTTTAACAATGGAAAGGGTACCTTTGATCACAAAAAACCTAGGATACCCCAAAAAGAAAATGGAAAACCGTGAATAATAGCAAATCTTGTTGAAATTAACAGCCCAAGAATGCCACAGAGTCATGCTGGAGAACCTATAAATTGGTTAGAGAGGACATATTTTGTATGACACGAATAAATGACATGAATAAATGAAACCACAGATATGAATACCAGCGTTGTACTATATTTCCACCATTCTTTACAGAGTGTTGATAAGTACTTGCCGCTTATGACTAATTGTGTTCTTGTCTGCCATTAGAGGCAGGAAACATCATTTACCTCCAATCTGTCCATCCATAATCTAGGCAGGACCGGCAAAGGTTCCAATCCACCCAACAAATGGGCATTCCCATTCCACAAGCTCCACTCCTACTGCACAAAGTTTCACTCCAAGGCTTTTCCCATCATGAACTTTGCCATTGTATTGACTTCATTACCATCATCCAGATAATTATGGCTGGGAT